GGGATTACAGGCATGCACCACGCCCGGCTAATTTTTTGTATTTTTAGTAGAGATGGGTTTCACCATGTTGGGCAGGCTGGTCTTGAACTCCTGACCTCAGGTGATCAGCCCGCCTCAGCCTCCCAAAGTGCTGGGATTACAGGTGTGAGCCACCACGCCTGTCCTAATTTTTCTATTTACACTTAGGCATATGTTTTAAAAATCACTTGTAATTTATACTGATCTGTTTCCCAAAAGAAATTGAGATAGTGCTCTTGTTACCATGTGAAGCAATACTCCAGCTGGAAGGAACGTGGCTTAGCAGACTTGCTCACCCTTCTAACCCGCAGCTGGGACTGTGGAAAGTTGGTTCAAAGAAGAGAAAACATTTCCTTCAGGATCCCATTGGGCTGGGATTGCCAGTGTGAGGTGGCACTTGACCTGGTGGCTCAGGTGGGTGATTTGAAATCAGCTTGGATTTAAAAAGACCCTTTCTCTAGGTGAGTAGTCCTCAAACTTTGGTGGCTATGAGACTCACATGGGGAAGCTGGTCAAGCCACAGAGATCCAGGCCCTATCCTATATCTGGAAACCCGGATCTCTGTGTGCTTTGTTAGAGCTCTAAGGGCTTCTAATACATAGTAGCGTTCACAGCTGCCCTTCCTACATCAGTAGTCCTCAAGGGTTAGTGAGTGTCAGAGTCACTAGGGGAGTTTGTTAACATGTGTATTGCTGGGCCCACCCCTGTTTTAGAGTTGGTACTTCTCAGGTGGGGCCAGGTAGCTTCTATTTCTAACAAGTTCCCAAGTGATGCTGAGGCTGGTCCAGGGCACACATTTTGAGAACCAATGCTCAAGATCCAGCTGTTCTTCCATGTGGAGAGGGCAAGCGGAGGCACAGAGGGGTGACACGAGCCACTCCAAGGCCTTGCAGCTAATTAAAGGCAGCAATGAGGCCAGAGGCCACTTCTCCTGCCCCAAAACTGAGCGCTCAGTCACTTTAGTTTTTTTTTCTTTTCATTATTTTTTCTGATAACATTCAGATGTTACCAAATCAGTCACCTTAGTTTTTAATTCTCACTATCATGCTAACATCTAACACTTGTATAGCATTTTGTGATGTGTAAAGTGTTTCCACCTCTCCCAGGATATTTTAATTTTCATCTTCATAACTGCCTCAGGAGACAGAAGGGAAGGTATCATCATTTAGAGATGTAGGAACTGAGGCTTACAGACATTTGATGACTTACCCAAAGTCAAACAGTTATAGTTTGTCAAAATAGAAATTCAGGTAGGCCTTCTAATTCCAAATCTGATTGTCCACTCCCTGAAGTTGACTTCATTTGTCAGAATAATGAGAAACTTACTATAAGCCAAGCATTGTGCTAAGCACTTTACCTGTATTAACTTATTTAACCCTCACAACAATTCTACATAGGTTCTAGTGTTACACCCATTTTACAGATGAGAAAACTGAAGGACACAGAGGTTAAGTAACTTGCCCAAGGTAACACAGTAAGTAAGTAGAGAAACCAAGATTTGAATCCAGTGAATACAGCTTCAGAGCCCCCATTCTTATGGAAAATAACATTTATTTGGTTCAGGATGAGCTAGAAATGACTATTTGCAAAGTAAAGCCTGGCATTTAGCTGAGACACTCACTTTGACGGCATACTCTTTGCCATTCTGTAGGCTCACGGCACCTTGAACTTTGGCATAGGCTCCCTCTCCAAGCAATTCAGAGGTCAGCTTGTACATATCTAGAGGTGAAATGGATGAGAGGAATAACAAGATGAGTCATCCTACTGCAAGCTCAGATGGGAAGAACTTCTGTGGCTCAGCTTCCCTGATCAGACGACACAGGCACCCGATGACTCTAGCACTCAGTGACAAGGAAGACAAGCAGCTTTCCCAACCACCTCAGGACCCATTTTCTCAACAACAAGACCACGTACAAGGCATCCTGTTCCTCATTTTAGAAATGAGGTCAGCAAAAGGGTCTCAATTCAGCATATACTTCCTGAACATCTACTATGTGCCAGACAGCATAACAGAGTAAGGAATAAAATAAAGGCCAGGTGCAGGGGCTTACACCCGTAATCTGAGCATTTTGGGAGGCCAAGGCGGGAGGATTGCTTGAGGCCAGGAGTTCAGAACCAATCTGGCCAAACACAGCAAGACCCCATCTCTAAAATATATATATTTATGATCCCTCTCCTCTAAGGGTTGCAGTCCAGTGGGGAAGACAGACACATACACAGGTGACCCCAGAATAAACCAGGCATTGGCAAACACTATCACAGAGGGACAAGGTACAGTAAAAAAAAAAAAAAGAAAAGTTGAGGGAGGAAAGGGTTAAATACATTCAGAGAGGCTGGGCACGGTGGCTCACGCCTGTAATCCCAGCACTTTGGGAGGCCAAGGTGGGCGGATCAAGAGGTGAAGAGATCGAGACCATCCTGGCCAATGTGGTGAAACCCTGTCTCTACTAAAAATACAAAAATTAGCTGGGTGTAGTGGCACATGCCTAAAGTCCCAGCTACTTAGGGGGGCTGAGGCAGGAGAATCACTTGAAGCTG